GAGGCGTTTCCTGCGCTGAGCCCAGGTCGTCCGGGGACAGCCATCTGAGAGTTCAGCAGGAGCCACCTCTGGGCCGGGGCCCTGCGCTGGGGAATCCAGTCTGCCACTCGTGACCACGACCTGGTGCTATCACGCCCCGAGCCTCGGCTTCTACCCACCAGGGTCACAGTCTGCTTTTAGGGTGGTGAGGACTCCAGATGATGTCCCTGCCGCGTGATCGTCGTGACAGGCTCCACGACAGCCCAGGAAGCTGCTTGTCTTTGCAGTTGGAGGGGGCTGAGCTAAGAAGCCGAGCACCGGGCGGTCCGGGAGTGGGGAGCAGTCACGGCAGCCCCACGAGGTATGGATGGACCCGGCGCCCTGGCTGACTACACGGGAAGGGGCCTGTGTCCTGCCAGCAGCCAGCAGGGGGCGCAGGTGGTTCCCAGCTCCCTTGGTGAACGCGGTGTTTGTGTTGAGCGTAAGCAGAGATAAGCTGATGTAACAGACTCTGACCTGGGTCCTGCTACATGAATTAACCTAGGGTGAGGAATAAAGCAAGACCGCATCACAGACACATGGAAGAAAGTATTGCGTGGCGCAAGTTGCACTTCTGTCTCCAAATACATGTACCCAGGCTTTATGGTTTCTGTCCGGACGTCCCGCCAAAGCCTCACGCGGTCACAGACGGGGAATCGGGGGAGGTGCCAGGATCATGGGGTGTGATACTCAGCAGTGGAGCAGCTCTCTAAGGAGTTTATAGCTAAAGCGCGGTTGGGAGGCGGAGCCTAGTGAGAGGAGGAGGTCACTGGGGGCGTGACCTGGAGGGGACTCTCCCTCGGCTCCCTTGTGATTTTCTGCTTCCTTCCCCCAGCGCTCTGCTGTGCCACCAGCCGACGATGGACTAAAACCTCCACAGGGGCCGGGGATTTAGCTCAGCGGTTCGGTGGCCTGCCTTGCAAGCGCAAGGACCTGAGTTCAATCCCTGGTACCTGGTAATGCCACCAGCCGACGATGGACTAAAACCTCCACAGGGGCCGGGGATTTAGCTCAGCGGTTCGGTGGCCTGCCTTGCAAGCGCAAGGACCTGAGTTCAATCCCTGGTACCAAATAATAATAATAAATAAATAAAATAAAACCTCCGCAGAGTGTGAACCAAAATAAACCTTTCCTCCTTTAAATGGTGAGTGTCAGCTATTTTGCCCCAGGGACAAGAAAGGTGACTAAGACACCATGCCTGTGTATGTGTGTTCGGTTTCAGTGTAAATACAGTTCCTGTTTGGGTCTCAAAAACGGAAAGGGGCTAGGTATAGCTGAGGATAGGACGCTTGCCTCGCATGCACGAGGCCCTGGGTTTGATCCCCTGGAACTGCAAGAAAAAAACATAAAAATGGTTAACAGTTGAAAGCCACCGCCTTAGATCACCTCACTTTACAGATTAGGGCAGAGAGGAGCTGCTGAGGACACCAGATGGGCTGGTGGGAAGGCCTCTGGGAGCCATGCCCAGCCTCCTTTGCCGATGAGGAAACGAGTCCCAGCTTGAGATTTCTCTGCACAGAACCTGGTTCCCTGTGTGTGCATCAGGTCCCAGGACTGGCTTCAGTTATTTTCCCTGTGACTCACTTTGGGTAAATACGGCAGAAGTTGCTGGGTCTAGCTTCTGAGATGAAGTCATAAAAGATATCTTGGCCTCCCTTTCTGCAGTCTCCAGCTCACTGACCAGGGAGGGGTCAGCAGCCACCCTGCAGGACCCTTGAGCTGTCGTGGAAAAAATCCTGGGCATGGGAATGAAGGTCTTTTGCCACTGTCTTGGTTACTTTTCTTGTTGCTGAGACAAAATACCCAACACTCAACATTAAAGGAGGAAAGGTTTATTTCAGCTCATGGTTTGCAGAAGTTTCGGTCCATTGTCACCTCCAAGGCAGGGTGCCATGGCAGAGGGGCACTGTCACAGAGGAGAGACAGGTCATGGAATGGCAGGAAGAAAGCAGCAAGCAGCAGCAGCAGCAAGCCCCCTGTCCTTTTTGTCCTACCCAGGTTACAAGCCTTTTGTATGATGCCACTCAAACTTCCCAGAACTGCAATAAACCGATCACTGGACCAGAATAGTACCACACATCCTTCATCCCAAAATCACACATCCTAGATCCAGCCACTTCTGAAAAGCTCCACCTCTGGATGCATGAGGCTTTGCGGGGAGACACCAGATACAAACCCTCCCAGCCACTGACCATGTCAGTGAGCATCCTGCAAGCAGATCCAAATTTCCTGAGACCTAAAGATAACTGTGACCCCATTGATGTCTTCAGGAAGCTTCTGGAGCTCCCTGGGCCTGAACCAGCCAGTGGCCAGAAGACAGAAGACAGTAGGTGCTCACTTCCTGACACCTCCAGCTCTGGAGGTAACAGTCACACAGCATGTACCACGAAATGTCCTACAAATGAAGGAACAATATAGAATGGTCCTGTTTGCATAATTGAGAGCAATACTAAGATAAAAATAAACAGTAAAACACACTTTTATATTTACTTGCTGTGCAGCTAATGGTGCTAACTCTTCCCCAGGACCACTTAAGACCCTTAAACCTCTGTCCTCACAAATAGATATGTTATCCATCACTCCCCCACGAGTATGCACAAATAGAAGTAACCCTACAAGGTGGAAGGATGTCCAACAAAGATCTAGTTTCTCTCCATAATGACTATTTCAGTATTTTCTTTCAAAAAATCAAATTCTTAGCTAGTGTGGTGGCTCACACACCTGAAACCCCAGCACTCAGGAGGCTGAGGCAGGAGGATCGCTGTGAGTCCCAGGCCAGCCTGGGCTACACAGTGAGTTCAAAACCAGCCTGAATTATAGAGCAAGATTCTGGCTCAAAAATAAATAAATAAATAAAACAAAAATTAAATAAATAAGTAAAGAGAGATGTAGTTCAGTGTGAAGGTCGTGGGTTCAGTCCTCAGTATTTCAATAAATAAATAAAATTTGAAAGGCTGGATGCAGGGGATGCTGGATGCTCAGTGGTTCCACCACCTGCCTTGAAAGCACAAGGGCCTGAGTTCCATCCCCAGTACAAAAGGCGGGGGTGGGGGGGGTACTGTGGATAAATAGAGCAACCCCCAGCAGTTAAATTCCCATTGCCTCACAAAAACAAATTCTAAAATTTTCTCTCTCTCTGTCTCTCTCCTTCTCTGTCCCTCTCCACGTCACCTCCATCTCTCCTTGCTCTGTTCATGTCCTACACACACCTTCCTAGAAGTCTTCCTTTTTTCCTGTATGCCCGAAAGACCTGTATCGCTTTAATTGCTTAAGAGAGCGTTGCTGCCACCTAGTGTGGGAACTGAGGTACAAGGAAAAAAAGCAAAAGAGCTGTGATGATACAAAATAACGATGGATGCTAATGATACGCTTGGATGGATGCTAATGATACGCTTGGGGTACCGCCGGAGGTATCTCAGTGTATTCCCTACACATTGTCTCATGTAACTGCCGTGCTGCAAATGCTACACGTAATTTCGGCGATGGGTTTGTAGAGCAGAAAACACACCCACCTTAAAGCATGAATCACTTCCAATTTCATAGGATTTAAACCCCAGATGACCTGATTCTGATTTTTGTCTTCCCTCCACCGCACTGCACACGCACCTCCCAGGGTGATAACCAGCACAAGGTTTTAGGGTATCTGTGTCCAAAAAGCAGGGTCTCACTAAATTACTGAGTTGCCCAGGTTGGGTTCGGACCTGCAGCCCTCCCTGCCCAGCCTCCAGAGTGCTGGGATTACAGGTGTGTGTTACAGTGCCAGTTTATATTTGTAAGGACTCCTGCAAATGCTCTTTCCAAACATTCCGATAAGTTCTCATGATTTGTGTGTCTGGTCATTCTAATTTCAAGGAGCAATGTTTTCTTTCTTTTAACTTAATGTGCATATCACAGACATAGCTTACACTTTTTTTCAAAGCTTTTCCCAAAACTTTGCTAGTAATGATATCAACACTTTAAAGATACAATAGTAAGCCGGGCCTGGTGGCACACACCTGTAATCCCAGCATTCGGGAGGCTGAGGCAGGAGGATCGTTGTGAGTTCAAGACCAGCCTGGGCTACATAGGGAGTTCCAGGTCAGTCTCTTTTGAGACCCTGTCT